TTTTATGTTTTTGTGCTTTTTAAAACACAGTGTTTTTTTTTTTTGGGGGGGGGGGTGATTTATTATTTTTTGTTCAGTTTGTATTTTAGGAAAACTCAGAGGTTCAGAGAGACTAAATGATGCTATTCTCTCTTGATGCAGCAGCTTATTTTAAACTCATCACCCCGTCCGGCCTCGGCAGCAGAGTTTAGGTGTTAGCTTATGTCGACGGCTATAAATATAACAGATTTTGTAGACTAATTGCAGAACTATCAGTGAGGTAGCGTGCTGTGCATCGGTTACACCTACCCGTCTCTTGAGCATTACAATCATCCTCAGTGTACGTTGCAAGACAGATAATTTATTTTGTTATATCCTAATAAATGTTACTTTAATGATTTAAGTCAGTGTTGTAGTTCTTTCTACCAAGAGTGACTTTTTTTCCTCCTGCTAATTTAACAGCTCTGAAGTGTGGATGAGGCAGCAGGAGCTGAGTCACTCATCCAGCAACACTTCTGCTGTTGTCTTGTTTGCTGCTGTGACTCATCATCGGCGCTCATGTCACCCGCAGACATTGGACTGCAAAACGACGCCCAAGAGCAAACCTGGTACTAACCAGACAAATTCTTCCGTAGGATTTAAAACTACTGCGCGAGTTAAAGTAAGTCCCAACAAAACGAGTTCAAAAAGTCCAAAGCGTTATTAAGCGTCACGGCCCTGTGGGGATGGAAAGATTGCTCATCCGCACCGAAACACCTTCGCAACTTGCAAGAAAATTCATATTTCTCCATGGTGTTCGCTTTAATATCATACACGCCTTCTCTTTGCAGAGCACATACACACCTTAGATTGGAGTTTTCACCTACATGAACTCTCCTTTTCCACATCTCTTAAAATAACTTTGCTGGATTTAACAGAAGTAACCACTATTTTTTGTTTGTTTGTTTGTTTCATTTTTATGAACTACACCCAGGCCTGATAACAGTACAGTCTATAAGTCACTTAAATAGATCCTGTCAAACATGAAACAGGTTAAAAAAAATCTCAAAAAAAGAAAGGAGAAATGGAGAAAAGATGAAACAGTAGGGAAGCGTTTCTGGAGCAGCTGGTTTTCCACAAGAGAGCCTTACAAACTCTGCATGCCACAAAAGAAACAAGAACAAAATCCAAAAAATTACAGAGATTGGGCAAAAACTGCATCAATGGGACCAAAGACAAAACTCCTGCTGAATAAAAATGACACAGAAGCTTGTTTGACATTTACCAAAAAAAAAAAAACCTTTTGATCCACAAAAAATATTATATGAACTGACAATGCAAAAGAGAAACTTTTTCAAAAGTGTAAAGCTACAAGTGTGGCAACTTCTAGTAAAAAACCAACAGAGGATTTAAGGAAAAGAGTATTATAGTGACATACATGGAGCCGACAGCATGAAGGTCTGGACTGTCATCGATGGTATCAATCAATCAATCAATCAATCAATCAATCAATCAATCAATCAATCAATCAATCAATCAATCAATCAAATTTTATTTGAATAGCACATTTCAGCAGCAAGGCATTTCAAAGTGTTTTACATAATTTAAAAAAAACAGCATGGCATTGAATAAACAGTAAGAAAGAGAGATTTTGAAAAAAAATGACCTTACACTCATGAAAGAACACCTGTAGATCCACATCTGAAAGGCTAAAAAATGGCATAGTCAAAGTCTAAATATCTCTGAGTTCCTGACCTTTAACAAGTTATTTATGCTTAAAAACTGCATGAATTATAACAATTCACTGAGCTCACCGAGTTCTCATTGACATGTCTTAGAAATTTCACTTGTGTTTTACTGTCTTTAAGTTCATGTTGTCAAGTAATTTTTGTCAATTAAAATAAAATGCAGTGCTGTGAAACATACAGCAATCATCAGCTTTTAACATATAATAAAGATAACTCCAAGAAAAATGAACTCGCCCTTCAGATTGGTTTATGATTATTAATCTAATTAACCTTGACTGCATCTATCAATCATTTACATTTCACTCTGTGTTTAACGCTTTGATTGTCATTTTATTGTAAAGGTTCTGTAATGATAAATACCCTTAATCTTGACGATACAACAGAAATTGTGTTCAAGATCTCAAAGTCTGATTATAAAATCAATCTGGCAGCAGTAAAGGAGCCGTTATCGTCATTCAGCTGTCAGCGCTGCTAATTGGAGTTTAATCTCTGCATCTATTTTTAGTTCCTGTTCTTTCTTCAGTAACAGTGCGAAGCAGCAGACAGCCGATCCGATGACAAGCAGCACAAGGACAGTTGAAGTAAGCAGAGTATGAATTAACATATAAGATTACCTCAACATTTCAAGGATTGTTGAGGAGTGTTAAAAATTAAGCAAGAAATTACATAACTACAGCAGCAGCTCCGGCGATGCTCTCCCACTGGCCACTTGGTTTGGTTTAAAACATTATTGCCCTTTCTTTTCCATCACTGTGTGATGGAAAAGAAGATGAAGAGATGAAAGAAAGGAGGAGAAGTAAGACAAAGAGATATGAATAGAGAAAGAAGGATAAAGAGAGTACAAGAAGACAACCTAGAAATCTCCTTCTACACCTACAGAAAGAGAGCAAAACACAAAACCAAGAAACAACCGCAACAAAAAAAAAACCCATAACAATAACAACATCACTGAAAAACACAGAATAGTAATTAATACACGATTCCAAACACCTATGTGTGTTTGTGAGCTCTCTCATAGACAAGGAGTCTCCATAAGAACAAACATGGAGGAGATAAGAGCCACAGAGATCCAAAGGTCTCCAGAACACAGGAGGCCTGGTACCGGGACCACCACAGCAGCGTCCAGTACCGGGTCAATACCACAGTCAGAGATTGGTCCGCATGGGCAGAGCATGGCCCAAGCTCCGACCAGAAACAAGTCGGTTTTGTTTCTGGTCATAACTTCTGGAAAGACTTTCTAGGCGCAGTCAAGGCGAGGACCTTAGGATTGGGTCTCTGCTCTTTGCAGATGCTGTGGTTCTGTTTATCAGAGCCCGATCTCCAGCTTTCTATGGAGCAGTTTGCTGCTCCGTGTGAAAACCAGCAAATCAGAAACCAGTTAAAGGACCTGAGTAAAGAACTTTGTTTCGTTGAACCTTGTTCCTGATGCAGATGATTTGGGGTCATTTGCCAAAGACCTGCATGTCAAAATCATGACATAAATTCCCAGTAATGAGACAAATGTCTCTAGATTTTTGTTCAATTGAAAATTTATTTACACCCACATGCAAAGGACAAGTAAAACCCTAAGTAAAACACTTCAAACAACGCTCACACACAGCTAATGCTTAACAACCAGTTCCTATTCATTTCACACTATAGCTAATGACACACTTCCCAGAGGTTGTGTGACCAGAGGTGTGCATGCACCATCACAGTATCAGTCTAATGTCATTGAGAGAAGACCTGCAGTAATTTGAAAAAGTATTTGCCCCCTTTCAGATTTCTTCTGGTTTTGCTTATTTGTCAGAATGAAATATTTTCATTTCATTCCACATTCTGTAACAAATTTTATGAAGCATGACTTGACTAAACACAGAATGCAGCCTCCAGATTGTTTTTTTGTCAGAATTTAATGTCACAAATCAGTGGGCACCACCCCTCACCTAGCAACCCCCAGCTGAGCTCCAGCACATCTGGTCAGCTGGTTTTTACTGCAATATCTACAATGGCTACTGGAAAAGACTAGTGTTTTGTTGTTAAAATTTAGAAACCGCTTGCTGCATTGTTGTTGGTTGTGCAGGAGGCTCTACTTCTGCTTTTCAAAGATGTACGGTTGTGCAACTGCACGTCTGTTTGCAGCCATTTTTACATGCGAGTGCAAATGTTGAGTTGAGGTCAGCAGTAGCTTATTTGGATTTAAAGTAACAAGACACCCTAAAACAGCTCAGAATTAAGCAGACTAAAATCTCGTTATCAGAGAAAGAATTTGTGCAAAAAAATGTATTGAGCATGTTTTGTATCAACCATAGATCTAATATAACCTGTTCAAGGAAGCATGACAGGTCACGTTAATAAAAGAAATTGTCATTTAAAATTTGCTTTTTGCTCAGGGTTTCTTTCTCTAACATTAAGGCGAATTTATTGACCTAAAAACCAAACAAAAAAAAAAAGTAGAAGTGAAGAGATCCACAGAAGGGAAATACGTTTCAACTGTAGTGTTTGTCTTTGGTCTATGTGACATGGGTGTGAAGGTGACGCAGGAACTCTCCTCGTGTGGTCGAGTCTCCGGGAAAAACCGCTTGGCAGAAGTCACAAACATGCGAGTGCATCGCCACTTCAGACATCATGGCTCCTCCAGACAGGTTCAGGAGGCCTCCATCCGTCATCGGCATCTGAAACAGATCAAAACTTTACAAAAACAACACAACAACAACCACACATCTCTGAGCAGAAGACGCTCACCATGTACGGAGCTCTGCGTTCACCAGGGCCATTTTGTTCTGAAGGCTTTGACCTGCTGGGAGAATCTGCGTGGAGTTTCGAGAACTCCGTATTGAACACGAACGGGTTCAACATCTCCGTCTTCGCATCCTGCTTCCTCTGACAAGGCATGTTCACGCTGAGCTTCGACATTCCCTCAGCAAGGACACCGGAGGCGCAGCCAACATTTCTGGAAGCGTGCTCAGCCCCGTGCGGCAGCGTGGGGTCTGGTCCCGCAGACGTCAGCGGCTGAGGCTTTTCGTACAGAAACGCAGAGACCTCATGGGAACACTGGACCGGGATAGAAATCAGATCGCTCACTTCTACTTCTGAAACAGAGACCCCTGGACAAAACAAATGTTTGTTTACAGGTTACTTTGAGTGATTGGAGCGCTGCTGGTTAGCATTGAAATGAAAACTCATACCTTGCTGTTTCTGCAGGGCTGTTGTGAGCCGGTGAAGCAGAGATGCCTGTCTGAGGCACAACGACCTGAGGCGAAGAAACTGCTGGTAAAGTTCACTGTACGCGTCCTCCATCTCAGGGCTCTGCAGACAGTCAGCATCACTGGGTCAGCTACGACCATCACAACAGAGTCTTTTGTGTGTAATTTGTGTGATTTCAGCTGCTCCCTGAAGGCCTCAAATGTTTTAGAGAACATTAGTGAATAAACAAACCAAGAAACAAAGCCGAGAGGTGAGGGACGAACTGTGAAGACGAGTTAGGATATAAACCAACATCCCCAACTCTGAACTTATCACTGAACGCCGTTCTGTTGGAGCGCAACGTGAAACTGGAAATCGGCCGTTTGGGCTTCAGATTTTATCACAAGATTTGGTGATATTTATTCTTATAACAACAAAATCTGACATCCACAGTTCAATCTATTTACAACAGAAATAATAAAAAGTTAGTTTTGGGGGTTTGCAACCATCATTAATTAGAACGCTACAACACAATCCTTACTGTAAAACATAATTACAAATTGTACATTAGCTTCCCAACTCTACAGCTAAACTGTCCATCCACCTATACTGACCACCGAACTAGTAATTTCTGCAACTCTGGAGGAGCTGCAGAGATTCTCGGCTCGGGTGGGACAAACTGCTGGTAGAACAGCTACTTGGAGTTTACGCTACAAATTTATATTTTAGAAGAGAACAGCTGAGAAAGTCAGATTGTAAAAAGTTATGTAAGGGACACAGCAAACAACTGTTTACACACGACACAAACTGAGCTGTTTTGGCAACATGTGAAATGGTACGTGTGGAAGAAAGTGACGTTACGTTCTGTCATATGAATCAACCACTTTGTGCAGACTTGTCTTCATCTGGTTAAACGCACTGTTGCAGAGAGATACAAGCACTGGTTGCTGCCATTTAAAACACACATTTACAACAGAAAATATGGAGATTTATCGTATAAGACTTCTCTAAACCCTAGGATTTCATAGACAGTTTAATTAAGTACCCAAACATCACGGAAGGAACTGCTCTCTGTTGATATTCTGTTAGCTATAAGCCAGTTACAATCATCAGTTTCATGTCGCACATGAACAATGGCTCACTTACCCCTCTTGTGACTGTCTGTCCTCAAAAAAGCTGCAATCAGGCCTCAAAGTCATCCAAACTTCCTGCCATTTAAAAAAAAAACAACAAAAAAAACACTGATTGTAAACTTAAAGGCCAGTTACCTTGCAGAGTCTACAACTTGTTCACGGATCCTAAATCCAGACGTCAAACTGGATTTGAAGACTGGAAAACACTGGACATTGGCCCGAAGCACGAAGTTCTGTTAATGCAACTGCACAAAGTTGGTATATGAAACAGTCAAACAGAAGGAAGTAGCTTTTGAAAACAGAGAAGTGAAACTCCTTTAGTAGAAAAAAAGCAACATTGCAATCTGCAATACAGACGTGTGCAGTGACCTTTGTGAAAATGGAAAAAGAAGACAGATGATATTTTCATTTGTTGTCTTGTGAAGAAAAACAAATATGTCTGAATTATTTGCTGTTTGATTAAAAACTTAAAGGATGGCATTTTTTTTGTTAAGAGAAATAAAACAAAAACAAATTCATATTTCTATGATCCCAGAAAACAAAATAATATATATATATATATATTTTTTGGAATATGATTCAGTTTGACATTTAAAAACATGAGCTGTGCAGCGGCGCAGTGGTTAGCATCCCGACCTGGGGTCTCTCAGCATGAAGCCTGCATGATCTTCTTGTACTTGCGTGGGTAATTCGGCTTCCTCCCGAGGCTTTGCAGATGTAGCTGTGTGCAGAATCAACTATGCTACACAGACGACACCGTGGTTTTGGAAGACCTTCAGATTCAGCACATTAAAATTCAGACTTAAAACAATCGTAGTCATACTTTTTAAGTATTTTATTTTATTTTTTATTTTTCTTGTCCAAACTCACCAGAGCTTTAAAAATATATCCATTTAGTCTCTGGCATAGGCGTGGTGAAGTTGGCTAAATGTTTTCAGTTACTTTGTGCTGCTATTGTTTTATTTATTACTTTCCCTCATGTCACGCCCTAAAGGAGGGACACGCCCCACACTTTGAAAACCCACCCATCCATCCATCCATTTTCTGTACACCTTTGTCCCTATCGGGGTCGTTTCGGGCGAGAGGCGGGGTACATCCTGGACAGGACGCCACACTCTGAAAACCCCCTCCTCTAAATTGCATGCATGGCCAAGGTGTTGCCCAGGTAGACACCAGCGATCCGCTAATTTTTCGTTTTTCCAAGTCAAGCAGCCAGCTCTACGGCTGAATGAAAAAACTCTGTGTCAAACTGTATGGCGCGAGGGACTAGGAAAATGTGTGAACAGGGTGTCTGAGGTAAGAATTATTCTTAGCACAGCAGAAGTGAAATTCCTGCCTGACAGAAAAATTAAATGCCCACTTCTGGTAGTGTTTTATTTTGCTCTGCACTTCCTCATCGCTTATCTTAAGTTGAGAAAATCACAGCAACCATACGCTCTAGGTTAGGCTGACTCAAAGTTGTGCAATTTGCTCTAATTGGGCCTCGCTTTCTCTAAGCCAAGTATTTGTTTTCCGACTCTTTCTAAAGAATAAATCCTGTCACTCCTAGAGAAGGTTGATTAAAATTAGCGTTTATTCGGACTTACAGTTTTTCCAGCAGCGGAACAGTGACGGACTGAAGGAGCAGAAGATCCGCATTTTTTTTTCCTGTTTTTCAGATCCATGACGTCATCACACCGTACGTCAGGTAAATAACTTCCTATAAAGCTGCCTTCAAAATAAAAGAACCAACTTCTTTATGGCGATTCAACATAAACATCGCGTCGGAACAGTGGTGAGGTGTGTAAACTGCGCTCAGAAACAAAAGTACACCGATAGAGCAACGTAATTGGCGAATTATTTATATTTATAACCATATTTCACCTGCTATAAACGATGGTTTAAGGCCCAGTTTGTTTAAACCTCATTAATCAACCTGTTGGTGTAATAATACACTGGTTTTGAATGTGAATTTGCATGAGATTGCTCCCAACAAAGGAAGAATGGACTAAAGCTGATTTTCCACTAACTTGAGTATTTGTGTGTTAAAATAGACCTTAAATAATTTCAAGATGCAATGGCTGGACATATAAAGTAAAAATATTTAGTATTTTTACTACCTATTGCTTTTTTTTTTTTTTTTTTACTAACCAGAACCAGAGCCAAATGAGTCCTGAGGAGTGTATGCACTAACAATGAAACTGCAATCCAAGTGAGAAACAAATCAAAAAACCAAACTAATAAAAGAGACTGGAGTGAAGCATCACTACTGTATCCCGACAGAAATCTGACTTTTGTTGCACTTCTCAGATAACAATGAGCGTTAAATTCCCCAGCTCATTAAGTTAGCATTAAAATGAAATGAACGCATCACTGGTGTATTTTGTAACCTACCGACCACCGGCAGCTTGTTAATGGTGTCACATTATCAGCAGGTTTCTCGGGAGGCTGACAGAAAAATCCTCCCACAGCAGTTTTCGAGCCAAAATGAGCGGACTGAGTGGATTCAGTACACAGAAGTAAAGACCCTTCTGGCTCTGTTTTCACACGCTGTAAAAGCCTTTAGGTGCTGTCTTTAACAACTCCTCATGTTTCCAGCACCATCTGAGCAGCTCTTGGCCTGGTAAAAGGTTTTTTTTTTTTTTTGGTGTATTTTGACAATAAACTCAAAACATGTTAAAAGTTAAAGAGGCCCAGCAGAGTTTAGTTTTCAGCAGTCAGATCGTGACTCGTTGAATGATGCGGTTGTCCGCTTTGGACCACCTGCCTGTGTTGCTGTGTTTGTACCATGTGCTTGCTTTGACCTTGAGCCCCCATTTTCATGCACATCCACACACACATACACACACACACATACACACATTATCACTTGTCCCTAAGACACTCCTCAAGCTTTGATCCCTCGGCTGGGGCTCTCTGAAATGCAAGTGCATGCATCCATGCGTGTGTGTGTGTGTGTGTGTGTGTGTGTGTGTGTTTGTGTTTGTGTGTGTGTGTTTGCGGAGGGGGTGGTTGCTGTGAATAACTATCAGGCAGTCAGCCAGGATCTGTCATCTGCCAGTGCAACACTATCCCTCCTGTCAATCTTGTTTTATAATTGTAACATTCTCATATTCTTCGGCTGAGCAGGGAGAAGTTTCCAGCATAGTGACACACACACACACGCACGCATTCACACACACGCACACCTACACGCACGCACGCATTCACACACACACACACACACACACACACACACACAAGCAGCACCAAATGTGCTTGATAGATATATTCAAATTCTCTCTTCAATAGGTTATCTGCTTGCAGTTGAAGTAAATGTCAATTCTTCCATTAATGCCAGACCGATTTGACGCTAAAACTTTGATAGGCCTAACTTCAGCTTCTACGATGTAAACAAACATATTTGGTGCAACTGGATCTCATTTTTGTCAGGGGTTTTGTTGAGTCACTCGGGCATTAATTCTTGGAGGTTCTGGTTTTCTCATGCCTCAGAAATCCCCTGCCTTAGGAGCGAGCAGCTTCCAGGGAAGGAGTCGTCTCAAGGTGCTGAGCAACAAATCAGAAGCAGACTTTGGAGAGACGCTAACCACAATGTGCTGCATAAGAAAAATGGATCCTGTCGCTGCTTCTGCTACATTCTTTAGACAATGTAAATGATTCCTGTAGATAAAACTAGCTTCTGACATTTGCATCAAAAGCAGTGCAGTACATATATATGATACTTATCGGTCATTCCATCAGCTTTACCGTCTGTGGATGCATGTCTGATGGTGTAAAGGCATGCACTGCTGCATATGACAAGAGTAACTTCCACATCTCTGAAGGCCCCATCAATGCTGACATACACACACAGCATGCTGCCTGTCTTCTTTGTGTCTTTTTTTAGAGAAGGCCTGGCACATAATCATAGATAAAATACCAAACACAATTCTGCACGTACGACTACCGAGCGGCTCCATAAAAGACTCAGAGTGTTAAACCGTCATGCCTGTAGCCAAGACTGGTCCCGCATTGAAAACATTTGACACACTTCAAAACTAAAAATACCACAAAGGAGGCCCTGAACTGCTGAGCATCTGAAATATATAGCAGGAAAGAAAGGAAAAATATTTAACACTCAAAAGGAAAAGAACTGGTTTGCTCAGTTCCCAGCATTCTGAGAGGAAATGGTGCAAATTAGGATCCTGCACAGGACAGTGAGGGGAGCTTAGCAAACATTAAAACTGAAATCATCAGATGACAAGCTGCTCATAATATTACACCTACGTAAGTTATCTGTTTTGTGCTTTTGATGAACTGAGTTTCTCTCAATTTCACATATGTTAAGAAGAACCGTTTGTTTTCTTTAGTTTTTTGCTGTTTAAACTTGAGTGAATTCTCCAGAACAAATCAACTGAACTACGTTTCACCATCACTTCCTCTCACTCACTTCAAAATGACGGTTTAGACGGCTAATCGTTCATTTGTGCATTTAATCCAGGGGGGAATAAGACCCTAATGCTGTGATGTGTTACATAGAGTTATCACAAGGTGTCATGAGCAATGACAGTCGCCGTCTCGTTTATCATGGGACATTCTCAGTGAGGGAGACCAGATCCAATTACTGATGATACTGTGGGCTCAACAATGGTCTGGCTATAAATACACCCATGGTGGGTTTTCCACGCTCAGCTAAACGCCCACGTAGAACCTGATGCTGCAGCGTGAATCTACACGCATGTATACGATTTCACAGGGCACCTTATAGCGTTTACTCAAAGTACTTTGTACATATGTGTGTTTCAAAAAGCGATATAGCAGCAGGACTCATGGAGAAGTAATTACTGGAGTCACCACGGGGCACCGAGCTGCTTCTCAAAGTTATTTACAGCTCAGTCCGTCAACAAACAGCAGGTGCAGCATCCTCACAAACAAACCTATTAGCTTTCCTCCCTCTGGAACAATGACATCTCCGGCAATCAGCTGCTCTCTCTTACTCACACGCAGATCCATTAGTGACAAACTGCATGATTCGATTGTGTTACCCGTGGCTTCTTTGCTTCTAGTTTTTATCTTCTGACAATAAGTCAGCGAAAGTGGATGCAAGCTTTGTTTGAGATTGAAAGCACTTCGTCTAATTGCAACTGCACTCAGAGGGAAGGCGTGGCGTTTGGACTTGGCCTTGGACTGCAGTTTTATCCGTCTGCTCCAAGTAGGCTGCTGTCTTGCTTTATCTATTCTCAGAGAATTGCTACGTTTGTGGCTGAAAATCTCTTCATCTGCATCACACATCATACTTCTTCCACTGCTACTGAAGCATCGTCATGTTGCAAAGTGTTACTGTTACACCACAGTATTGTTATTTAGTGTTAAATCCCATTACGTTACTTGTAGGTACATTAAATACTGCTACGTTTCACCTTCTCTTAAAGTTGAGATACAATGCGTTACTTTAGTTCCTGGTAAATTACGTCGCTTTACTTTACATTATATTATATTGCTTTTAATCATGTTACATTGAATTAATTTACATTTTCTAACATTACATTTTAAGTTTAGCTACATTACTATAAGTTATGTTACTTAACATTCCCATGTTGCATGCCACTTTACTTAACTGGAGCTAAGTCAAGCTAAGCTGCATTAAGTTATGGTACATAAGTAAAATTAAGTTTTCATTGCTTATTGTCATATAAAGATGTCTAATATTACATTGCATTGCTTATTTTTGTGTCATTTTCACAATACTTACTGTTAAATTTGGTTGCATTACTTATTGCTGCGTTCGATTTGAAGTTGCGTCATTTAACATTAA